CATACATACATACATACATACATACATACATACATACATACATACATACATACATACATACATACATACATACATACATACATATATATATATATATATATATATATATATATATATATATATATATATATATATATATATATATATATATATATATATATATATATATATGTGTGTGTGTGTGTGTGATTGTGTGTGTGTTTGTGTTACAATGAAATTAAATGCAACTAGACCATTTTAGATAGGGAACAAAATGGGTATGGTTAATGCGAACAATTACAGGTCTGTTCGTATGCTAAATATTGTCTACTAGTTTTGTATTTGAAAAAAATAATTTGTTGAATCGAAATTTGTTTTGTTTTTTTATAAAGAAATACAAATTATTGGCATCCATGTCATTTAAGGGGCTCCGTAATATTCTTCTTTGTAGCTAATACTAGCTTAATGTATGAACTACAGTCTGTGATGATGCCGATGATATCCTTGATGTAACCATTGCTGCGGGATATACTGTGAGTAGCATTCGATATATTAGATGGACGCCTCTTCCTTTTATTCTTCCTTCCATTCGCTGAATCAATTAAAAATTTATTCCCAGAATATAAATTATCAAAAACATGTAATTGATTTTGTGCTGAACAAAACACATAATCTTGCTAAACATTAGGCTTTAAAAAAGCAATATTTACAACAAAGTATAAAATAATTCTTTTCACGATACAATATAATTCTTCATTACCTAACAAAGGAGTTATAATAAATAAATATTGAAGTCTCCTAAATTTATTCAATAAGATAACTTTACAAAAATAAACAAATAATTCCCTATAGAAGACCAAATAATTTTGCAAGATTCTCTAATTAAACCTAAACAGACTGAAAAAGACAATTTTCATTTTTTATATATAACATACATTGGTGGTCTCGATGTACAAATGTGAAAGTATTTCTTTCAGTAGCGCTGATACCAAAGAAGTATTTTTGTCAATGGTATGAAACTAACTGTGTTTCAACGGATGTGATTGTTCTGATAACCTGTAAAAAGGGTAACATGCAATATGTTGAACAAACACTTCAACAAGTTTCTAAAAGAATTAATAATCTTCGCTTTAATATACATTATTATAGAGATCCGTAAGGTTCTTATAATAGTTCAACATCTTTTAATACCTGTAATCACTCTCTACACAATTTTTCTTTCATGCCAATAGATATTGTGCATGAAGACATGACTAGACTCATAAAAAACTTTTTTCCTAATGGCCCTAATACTAATGAACTATATAAAATTGTATAGTTTTCACTTGCTAAAATGTATATCCTTAATAAAAATATAATTATGAGTATGATTGTTTGTCTCTTTTTATTTTGTTATTTCCCACAAAGTTTGGAGATAGTCTTATTTGCAATATTCAATTAACAGTTCCTATAAATGATCCCATAAATGTACATAAATGTACAAAAAGTAAAAATAATTGTCGCTTTCGCTTGTAGACGTTTAGGGAATTATACACCGTTTTCAATTTCCGCAATTAGTCTATACAAGCTGGTTGTATTTATAGTTTAGCACATGTGAAAACAGCCATGTAGAGGTTTACAAACACAACGTTTTTGTGTTTTTTTTTTTGTTTGTCATATATGTTTTGTATTTGCCTTTGAAAAAGACTCACTAAGAGTCGAAAGCGCTTAGGCTAGTTAGTTACTAGTTTCGTACTGTTCGTCGTCAGTTTATTGCATCTATTTTAATCAATCCCTGACACACGTGATCCCTTGCTGGATTCAGTACGCTTGAAAGGGTTGTTATTCGCCATATGATTTGTATTCTTTATATATATATATATATATATATATATATATATATATATATATATATATATATATATATATATATATATATATATATATATATATATATATATATATATATATATATATATATACATATATATATATATATATATATATATATATATATATATATATATATATATATATATATATATATATATATATATATATATATATATATATATATATATAAATACATATTTGTGTCCGCTAAGCTGGTGGGTGTAATGATATCTACAAACTTGAATGCAAATCTTCAGATAGCGAATGCGCAAATTTAGTGGCGTGATGACTGAATATAAAGTAACCTCTAAGGGAGACAACAGATGAAACTACATATGGTTTCTCAAAGTGATGCTCTCCCGTGGATAACATGTTTTCGTTTACTGTATCGATAATGTTTGTGAACACATACTGTATTATCTTTTTATCAATTTGTGTCCAAGGCGTTCGATTTGATCTTTAATTAAACTTTTATTTTTTGTTTAATGAAATAAAGTCATAAATAGAAGATTTTAATATCGTATGTTTGATGTGTGTAATCTTTGTGTATTTTTATGAAACGATCAGCATTATACAAACTATTTTGTGTAATGTAATAACCATGCCAGATTGTATGCTAAGCCACTTTAGCTTTAACTAATGTGTAGAG